ATGTTTTGAAATGACAAAGAACATCTGTGACATGTTTGCATATTTCATACATATCAAGTTTTAAGGATGGGTTGTAAGGATGGGGTTGAGTCTATGGTGAGGAAAATGATTTTCTTTGTGCCCTCCCTTCCCATGTGTGTGCATGTGTGCATTTCAGGGATGACTTCTGTTATATGATTACTGTTTTTCCTCTGCATAAATGTTTTTCTTTCATGTTCCATGGATACCTTGAGTAGGAGGATATATGAAATGGTTGCTTTTTTTTTTTTTTTTAGTATACAAAACGTTAGTACAAGGCAGGCTAGCATCCTATATGGATACAACCAAAGGTGCATTCTGTTCTCATTGTGGATTTCAGATCAAGTTAAGAAAAATAGAGCCTAGCTAGTAAGGTTTCTTGGCTTTTGCCACCCAGCGGCAGCCTTTTATGAGAAACACTTATCAATTACGCAAGTAAAAGAAAAAAAAATGGGTAAGAATGTCCTACACGTGATATAGCAGTGTCGACCTGACTGTCTATATCTTTTTGCTGTGGACGTCAATACGTATGATTGGAGATGAATCGACAGATCTTCACATTCCAAGAGAAGGAAAATCATTCTTAGACTGAAATCTCTTTTAAACAATATATCTCAACTTTTTTTTTTATGGCACTCACTTTTTAAAGGGTCTGAAAATTAATCCCTTATAGACAATTAGACAAGAGTCATCATACTTCTTGAAAAATTATAAAAAAGGGACATAGAGAGGTTCTTTAATGGGAATTCTTGAAATGGCTATTAAATCTCTTTATTGAAGAAAAAAAAATAGATGACATACATGCTTTATGCAGAAGCGACATTTGGGGGTCCTGACACACTGGGGTTGTTCAACAGTCCTATATTGCTGACAAGATTGTTAAGGGTCAGTATATAAAAGAATTAAAAACAGATGACAAAGCAACTATCCCTTTACCTGCTTCCTTCTTGTCTAGCACCCAGGCTTTCACATTTTTCTTCTGTGGGAACTTATAACGTAAGCATCGAGTAAACTCCGTATCACCTGTTTCTAGGGCCGTTATTTGCAGGACATGCGCCCCAGGACAGCTTCTCTATTTTGGGCATGTTTTTAAAAAGCGTATCAAACTCTAGGCTGCAAACCAACCAGATGACTTAGGATGTGGGCAAGTGAAAGTATGCACTTACTGAACTCCAAGATGCATGGTGAATGGTGAGATCAGAAAGGGGCCCTGCATTTGATAAAAATGCAAAAACAAAAACAAAAATAGCATGAAATAAACTAATTAGTATATACAATGGATGTCAGTTGACCCAATACATTGCCAATGGATTAAAAACAATTTAGGGTGCTGCAATGTGTTAATTCTAATCCCACAGGTTATCCTTTTGACAGCTGACCTTGAACTTTAAAAATGTAGGCAGAGTAAAAGAAAACAGAAAAGAAAATAGTTACTCAAATGTGCAACTGCACAAATATACCCCCTCCCACTATTAAGATAACAAAACTTCTGCTATTACCATAATATTATATATATTAGAAAGCTATACACAAGCATGTTAATTTCACAGATTTTTTAAAAGATTCTTAATATTTTATATAATTAGAAATACACATTTCAAAAACAAAACTTCTACAAAGAGAAAACAGTTATCTTGGTTAGCAAAGCATGGAGTTCTTCATGGCTTAGGGTAGTGCTTTCTATACAAAAAGTCCTTTTTGGTTTTTTACAGGACTGTTTAAAATATTAGCGAAGCTATCAAGGGGGAAAAACACATTTTGGCTTAAGTAAACTACAAAAAGCCACAAATGCTTTGCAAACTCTGTCTTACCTTTTATATGAAAATAAGCAAAATGTAATGTACATATTTTTATATTTTTATTTAATAAGAGATGCAGACCCAGATTTATTTCTTTATTTAATTAAATACGTTAGCCCTCAAACTCCACTTTTTTTTTTTTTTTAAATAGGTATGGTCCTCTTTTAATGGTCATCGACCCTTTTTAATGAGTGCCATACGCCAATGATATGCCTGCAGGTTTGTGAGCGTTCTTGGGATGTTAGGTGACCTGGCGTGTTCCTAACATTTACCAGTGGCCACCCTTTGCCGGGTCTGTCCAAGACAACTATACATTTTTCTATATGTTGCATAACAGCTGCTCTCTCTTTCAGTAAAGATCTGCCGCTTTTGGCAAATGTTTCCTTTTGTCTATTTACATGTAAATAACGTTGAACCTGCAACATGACACTATCTATTGTAACATACATTTTGCAAAGGAGCACAACAGTGAAAAGAAGTTAGCCTTAAAATCTATTTTGTACAAGTGTTCTGTTGTACAACTCAAGTGCTAAGCTTATCTCAGCATTTCTGTTTATCTTTATACTGTATCACTGAGGCAATTTAAAAGTACTTTTACAAAACAGAGTACCTGACTTTTTTTTTTCCACACACAGCACATATAATGCATATCGACCCCCCTTCCCCATTAAGGTATAGCACACACACACACTGCAAGAAAAAAAAAAAACTATTAAGTAATAATCTGATCATGTTGCCCATCCTTCAGAGAGTCGCATGCGCTTGACTGAGGGACTTTCCCTTTCGTCCGGCGAAGGTCTGGTGAGTCCAATGGGGGAGTGGAATTCGTTCCGGTGATCCTCTCGGTCGCTCCCGTCGTACGAACTGCTACAGCTGCTCAAGCTGTCAACAGGAGATCTCCCCGCCTCGTGGCGCGTGTGTTGTGGGTATCTCGAAGGGGTGGTGGTACGGTCTCTAGGAGGAGAAACAGGTTCTGACTTGATGCTGAGGCTTTGAGTAGAAGGCAGGGAGAGATTTGAACTCTGAGATAAATGAGTGCTAGTGCAAGCTCTGTAGGAGGAAAGGAAACCCAGTTACAGATGGAGGAGGCCTGGAGCCCCCAGGAACTCACAATTACATCAAACATCATTTTAAAGACTCGCACAGACCCCCAGAGCATGCCCAGAGGGAGGGGGCGTTGTTGGGAGCATTGGGGGACACTGCCTTGCTAGTGTCTTTGTTGATGGCTGGGTGGTAATGACAGTAAACTGGTCCTAATGGTCCAGGCAGCGAGAATCATTCCTGTAGTCTCTGACAAGTTCCTTAAGCATCTAGGTACCATCTGAGAAATGTTTAACAAGACACACTGGAAAAAGCATTTTCTGTGTGTACGGAATTTCTTCCTAGAATAATTCCAGAATATAATCTAAGGCTTATGTTATGGTGTTTAGCTTTTGAATTGGACTTCTTTAAGAATGCCTATTTGAAAATGCTCATACAAAGCTTAATATGGATATAAATATTTCCCTGGATTCAATATGCATATCCGCTTTAAATCGCCTAATCTTCAAGAAAGACAAAAGAGTGCAAATTTCAAATGAACAGAACACATAGAATGCTCCATTTCCACCCCATCGGTGAAAAACCTGGGGGAAGGAGTTTGAAAATTAGAGGCAGAAATTTTTTAAGTATGAACTTAAAAACACGTAGACATTCTACCCCACTCATACAGAATTTGACTTTCTTTCTGTATCCTCTATCAGTCATAGAGGCTGAGAACTGCCATTTTCTACACAGACCCCACTTTCTCATTGCTAGTCCCTCCCTTCTGGGGTACTGGGGTCGTTTGGCTACCACTTCTCTCAGTTATAACCAGTATTAGCGGACGAGACTGAATTTTCAGACGGAAATGTGATTGTAAAAAAAGATCCAGTGTGATTTTATTGTGTCTATAATCCTTAATCCAGAAGAGCATAATTTGCCCTTCTTCCAAAATGTGGGAGAATTTAAAGACCTGAGATTCTGGTTGGAAGAGCATTAGCCCTTAAGTATAGATTAACAATTACACTGACTTTGATGAAGGTCAACCATAGTAACACTGCTGACATCCATTTTAAGATGCTTGTACTTTCTTAAATTCTAATTGTGCTAACACCCAAAGTCAGAGTTAGCGTTCTTTGACCAAAATATAGAAAGTTCTTACTACGTGTAGGAGCATGTAGGAGAGAATTATGCATATAGGTAAACCCACTTTAAACAAAGGAAAGCAAAACTACCCACTCATGTATGTGAGGAAGTTACTTTCCAGGGGAGAGAATTAGATGGTATTAAAAATGTCGTAATAAGCTGTGAGAAAAATGGGTCTATATTTCAGAGGAACAAGTGGAGTAACTTGGGGCTGGCTTTGGGGGAGATGACACACTGGTTCAAGATGTATGAGACATAAAATTAGTCAGAAATGAGTTTATCTATGAGTGATGCTTTATACAAAAGCACCACCTACTGGCAAAAAATTACTTTCCTTCTCTTATTAATGGATGAACTAATGTCGAGTATAACATAAAGGAGAATTATTTGTTTCCCAAATAAGCCTTTTTCTGGCCTTTAAGATCTGAAAGATTCAAAGCAGTCTTAGCATTTGTATCAAGATATTAAATTGCGTTATATGATTTTTTAGCCATCTATTTATACTTGGATTTATTTGTAGTTTTTACTTTACAGTCTATATTAGCATACTAGCTTTCTAAATATTTTAAGTACTTTTTAAAAATCAAAAATATATTAAGATGAAGGGGGGGACACCTATATTTTCAAAAGGGTGCATAAAGGTGGACTAGTTTATCTTAGTTCAAATTTACTTTGCGATTCATTTTGATGTCAGAGGAAATCATCTTTTGATATCTGGAAGAAAGAATTTTTCTGCTCTGGGCAAGAAAAACTATTTCACTAAAATTTAATTAAATGCTGCTACTATGAATCATACAACTGTTTAATAATGACTGTCAATTAGATATGAAAATAAAGCGGCATATCAAGAGATACTTATTTTGGTCTGCCCTTGACATTTAGACTATGTCTTTCCAGGTAAAGTGGCATGGAAAACTCGAAAAAGGAGAAAAAATTGCTGACCTGGGCCAGATTAACTAGTCAATCTGAATAAATTAAACAAAAATTAAAATAATCAATGTGCTGTTTCTTCAACAGAGCTTCTGGAAGCTGCACTACCTGCTCACTGCTTCATCTCCCAACGTCAGTCAGTCGGTGTGTATAGGTTTTCGCATCTCTTTCTCAAAGAAAAGGGACACGGCTCTCTGGTTTCTTTTAAGTGAATAGTTTGTCTTTTGGGGGGTATTTTATTTGACACTGAAACACATATGAAGCATTTTGAGTAGTTCTGGGGACATGAAGTCCACAGTAATGAAATATAAGTGCTATCTTAGGTTCAACTCTATCATAGTGTGGTATAGGATTTGAAACAGAGAGAAATTTAATTGGCTCATTTCTTATCCAATTTCTTATCCAAGAAGTATTTTCTTGAAAAGAAAAAAAAAATCGCTTAGCTCTACCATTGCTAGATTCATCCATAAGCATGCTGGCCTACCTATTTTTGAAAACAAAATTTTTACCAACATAGATAACCGTGAAATACGTATCTATGTGGGTGATAAAGAGGCGGGTGGGAGATAAACAGCACATACGTAAGCTCTGTTGCCTGTTCTATCCACTACTGGAGCCCTGCAACTGGGAAAACACCTACCAGCTCTATAATTGTTCAGAAATGAAGCATGACTGAAGAGTTGTATTCAGATTTCTTACTGCCTCTGCCTAGAAATTCGATTATTCAACCATACTGAACCTAACCTTTACTGAATTTTCTCTCTGTCAGTATGTACTGAACACCCACACCAACAAAGATGATATATACAAATGTTTCCAGAAAACAGGTCGCCTTTTTTTATGAGGTGGTAGGGTAAAACACTGGGAAGTTGGGGTCATATTCTCAGATGTTAGTATTTGTCTGACTTTCATTAACCCTGATGTCAAGTTTCTTCTGCAATAAGTTTTGCACTCGACATCAACCAGCTTATGCTGTTGATTTAATTTGGTTAGATAAAATTTGGTACTAGATAGGGTCGAAAAGTATAGTTTCAAAAATGTAAAGATATCTCCATAAACAAAATTTGAAGAGCTCTATTAGACAGCTTTACTGCTGAGAAAGAATAGTGGTGACGACTTCAGGCTGCTGAAAATATCTATTCTGGTGGAGCTGACATATTTGACTCTGTTTTGCATACTCTATCCAAAAGAACGTGATGTCACTGCTCAACTGTATGAGACGATCAGGGCTGTGAAAGATTAATTTAAAAAGTGGGTCTACACTGCAAGAAATTAGGGAAAATCATATTACTTATTTAATTTAATAATTTAGGATTAAAAAAGTCAACATTTAATTGTGTTATCATGGGTTAGGTCATTTGGAGAAATTGAAAAGCTACTTTGTGTGTGTATGTGTGTGAGAGAGAGAAAGACACACACACACAGGAATACAGTAATAAGTGGTTGTGAGGGAGGGAGGGAGGCAGGGAGGAGGGAGGAAGGAAGGAAAGTGCCAAAATTAGAAAGACTGGAAGGGGTATCCTATCTATTTGAGGGATAAGGGAAGTGATTAAGTGCAATAACAACTCATAGACTAAATTCAGATTCAATTTATGCACCATGAAAATTGGTGTTGAAAGGAACCGGAACTAAACAAAATGCTTCATCCCTGGCTGTTGTAATTCAGCGCCTCTCTAGTCCAAGACTATCACTCCTTTCTCATTTCCTGAAATCACTTTCTCATTTTTTTTTTCCTTTTAAAATTGAGGTGGCAAACTTTACAACACTGTATGTGATTCAGAGGTAAAGTATTGCATCTCTCGAAGCCTCATTTAAGGACAACAGAGAGATCTGCCCTTGTAATAGGAGATAATTTAAGAACTGCAGCATAGTTAAAATATGCAAAATGCTTTATCCATAAAAATGCAAATTCTCAGGTGCTACTGAAAATAAAATAAAGTCACATTTTGTTAAAAAAAAAATGGCCACTTACATCAATCATTCCTAAGGAAAGTTAGTCCTCTAGTGGATGGATTTTGTGAAAATGAGAGAAGCAAACATTTACCTTTATTTTTGACAGGAAGTCTGTGTAGTGGATTCACTGCTAGGCCACAGCAGTCCAATACCACATATGTCTATTTTAAGACTGACTGAATGGTATGAAGGACTTAGTGATAACTATCTAAAGAAGTTATTGCAACTAATGTCTATTTGGTCAGTTAACATTTCTGAGAAAATGTAAATGCTATCTTAAAGAGAAATTCTACTGTGGGTCGATATTCAATATACCTCGAAAGTTAAATTCTTTTAAGAAAGTAGGGCAGCCATGTCCTGTGTATGTATTTACTATTTACATGGAAGATTTTCAGTGATGAAATGATGAGTGACGAGGGTGAGCATAAACAGGTGGTGGAAGGGAGAGATGCCATAACCAGCCCTTTAGCTGGGCGGGGTGGAGTGAGAGATGAGGTTGTGATAGCAATCAGTGAATTTTATTTTAATTGGTGATTTCTTTTTTTAGAAATATAAAGACAAGAACTAGTTAACTATTCTAATCAAGTCATCAGCAGAAAATTAAAAGCAAGGTAGCCATATGGAATGTTTCTAAAATACAAACATTCTTTATTAAAATAAATGTGATAGTCACCTAGTACTTTCTTTAAAAAATATTTTTACAGTTTTGGATTTATATTAGTGAAACTTCAAGTGAGAACTCTGATTATTGATTTAAAGCATTTTATAAAAATTTTTTGTCTTGAAATTGATGTGAATTGCGAATTTGGGGCTTTTGAATGATCCAAATATCTCCAGAGATAATTGACAGGAGTCATTTCTATTAAAAAAGACATATCTCAAAGCTACCACAAGGGGGCAGAAATACACATCTTCTGACTTAAGAAAATGACAAAAATGATTTTTTATATACCAATTTAGATAATTAGTACTGTGTACACCTGCTTACGTCTTTATACTCATAAAATTTATAAATATACACCTATACTCTGAGCACATTATAAATACATGAAAACTGCACTGTGTACACCTGCTTATGTCTTTATACTCATACAATTTATAAATATACACCTATACTCTGAGTACATTATAAATATGTGAAAACTGTCCATGACATAGTTGGCCTATGAGTATATGGTTAACATTAGCATGACTTAAAGTGGTTTACACTAAGTGAAAACGATTCTCAAATATCTCAAAAATTTAAAGAACATATGGTCTTATGCCCCCAGTGAACTCTATGAAAACAAAATAAAAATTTATCACCGATCAACGTGAAACCCTGAAAGATCAGGGAAGCCACTGATCTTATTACTGCAGAGTTCCCTGTCCTCTCCGAGAATAGAGTAATACTTAAGATAGTTGCAAGGTCTTGATCATGTAACTGCTTTCAGATTTTTATAAAGCAAAATTTCACCTCCCTTCAGGGGTCATTTAAACACACATTTGAAGATGATCATTGCAAAATACATTCTGAAAGTGCGTGACAGAAGAAATAGCATCGCTTACCCCAGCTGGCTGAGGGCGGATGGCGGCATGTTATGTAGGTGCTGCTGCTGCCAACCAGTTACTGACCCAAGGTGAAGAGCGCTGGCGGTGTTAAACCCAGACAGAGATGACAGGTCTGCACTGCTCAGAGAGTACTCTGCATCGAGAATAAGACAGAAGTGAAACAATCTGCATATTTTCAAAGGGTGAACAGAATAAACATTCTCAATTTTTAAAAGAGCCTATAGTAGTCTATAGATTTTATTAGACCTTTTTTATGTAGGCGTGAAGATACAGCATCAGGGACCATTTAATTTAAAAAGAGGTATGCTACATAGCAAAGATAAGTTATCCACGAACGCCTTGAAGGAGTACAGTTTGCAATTCCAGTTTATTAGAACTACATTCTGGTGTCACAGTGTGTACATGTTCCATGGCCCAGGAGTTTTTATAAGCAGCCCTATGGAAAACAGTTTTCTATTACATCCAAGAAATAACAGTTCAATGTCCTTGATATTGTTCTTCTATTTTGAATTCAGGTTAGATTAATAAAACTTTCAGTTACTTAAGAAAGAAAAATGTGGATATTCATCACTTTGTGTTAGTAAAGAATAGTGGGACCAATTCTTTGTCTGGACCTGGATACCGCAGGTCCTGAATAAAGCTTCCTACCAGATTCAAAGGTGTTATCTTTTTCACCTTGCTTTTTATTTTTTAAAGATTTATTTTATTTAATTATGCATACAAGATCTGGGGTGTAGGCTAGAGGTGTGTAGAGGTGAAAAGATTCAACAGATTCAGAGTGGGGAGCAGAACAGGTAGACTGACTGAAACACACTGCTGTGGGTAGCAGCGGGCCAGAGAGGAGAGGTCTGCTGCACCTTGTGAGTCAGCTTCCAGGTGGGGGATCGAACTTGTGCTGCAGTGGCTGTCGATGGCTTTATCGTGCTGAGACTTAACCCCTTGTGCCACCAGGGAGGACCCTTTCACCTTGCTTTTTAATAAAAAGTATTTTGCCTACTATTTGAACATGACAAAGCTACTCACCGGTACCATATGTTGTTGAAATGGCTGATGGATATCCTCCCATCCCTTGTCCTGGTAAAGTAGGAGTTGCTACGGAAACCACTGGGGTAGCCAATGACTGAGCAGACTGGGAGTTATTTATCCTTTGATTCTTTTAAAGTAAATAAAAAGACATTAGTGATGGGATTTTGTTAAAAGTTAAAAATATTAGATTTCAGTATTGGTTTCCCACATAAAGAGATAACTTGGTACAAATCTCATGAAATTAATCATTTAACATGTGTCTCTATGAACTCTGCCAACCCTATCATTTACAATCCTTCAAGAGACCAGTTGTTGCCATAGTAACCCATTACATCAGTATCTCCTAGGCAACTGAACTAGTAACAAGTACCATAGCTTTATTATGGGTAAAAACAGACTATGTTGAAAACTGATGAAATATGTATACTGTACTTCCATTGTTTCAGTTTTTATTCAAATGCAAATTAAAAAAAAATTAAAATCAACCATGGTGGTTTCTATGCTCAGTTCTATCCACAGCAGAGCAGATGAGGAGAGGGTCATGCTATATCATCACCAGCAGGTGGTGCTCTGGCCACTTTTTTCAGCTGCTTCTAAACTTCCCTCAAACTAGATGGCAAAGCAAACTACCAGGCATTATTTAACTCCTTACAGCAAAGAGCTTGAAAACTCACATAACTGAAAGATCATGAGACCTTAATTTTCAGAAAAAGAAGTACCGTCATAGTTTTTTAAAACTAAGACAAGTTGTTTCTGGTGTTACAACTTCTTGTAAATTAGGTCCTAAAATAAATTGAAAACATGACCTTCAGTACAGAGGTTGAGACAGAAAACTAAATCACCTGCCATCCTTTTCACATATGAGTGATATTTAAAATTAAAGGTATTTAAGTACAACCGATGTGACACTGTTAACTTGTGCGATCTTCCCCTCGGTGCTCCCACTCTCTCCCTGGAAGTCGCTTTGGGCTTCTCCCAGAGGGTGCTGGGAAGGGAGTACTCTTGCCACTTACCAAAAGCAGGTCGACATCCTCAGACTGAGAGCATGGGGAAGGAGTTTATTAATTAGTGTCTGTAAATATTTATAATTGGGCAAAATTTTTTCAACAATAGAAAAAGCGGCTTCTGATAGACACAACAGTTTAAACAGTTTTAAAACCCAGACTCTAAAGATAACTCTGTACAAAGCCATTCTTTGTTTGCCTTAATGAGCTGTTTGTCTCAAATGTGAAGGCAATCCACCCAGTTTGCAGCGCAGGTCAGTGTCTTGACGTTCATTATTTCACCACCACATTTTGAAGGGGAAAAAAGCTAGTACTCTGAAAGCCCACTTGCTGGAGGAGGGGGTGGTGATACCTGGCTGTCAGGGAGCGACCTAACGGGCTACTCACAGCATCCCTGGGAAAGCATCAGTTTTAAGGGACGCAAAATAAATCTGCTGCTAGAGACAGCCTGCCACGCACGGCCCACACAGCTTGGCAATCACCCTGTGGGAGGTTTTATTTATTAGCCCCAGTCTTTTCCTAAGAGAATGCTGCATATTATGTGATTTTGGGGGGGTTGATATTCAAAATTAATCTGCACTGTGCCATAATAAACTAATCAGCTTGCAGGACTGTTTTACCCTGAAGCTTGCCACAGAGCATGGAAAGAAAAAAAGAAATGTGTTTGCAGAATGATCTAAATTTGTCTACTGAATCTTGGTTTTAAATGTTCTCTCTCTTAAGCAAAGCTAATTTGAAGAACACTGATGTAAATCTCTTTGTTGTGGAATTTGGTTCCCAAATATTATCTTCATCTTAGCCTTACGGTAAGACCCAAAAGAAAGAAAATGATAGAGCTTGGGGGTATTATTTATATTTTATATTTATTTATTTTTCTTGCAATGACCACAACTTGCTTTGGATGTAAAATGCAACCTTTCGTCCTCAAATGCCTCAAAAACAATTTGCTTTTGAGAGGTAGCTATTTGGAGGAAGCATGGATATGGAAAGATGAATTGAGGCAGAGAGGGCATGCAATGTGTTACTTGCTCTCATTGCCCTATATTTAAGAAAAGAATTGCCAATTAATAGGTGAAAGTTCACTTAGAAATTACAAAAAAGATTTTTCATTGTCAGCACCTTGAGGATATAAATAGTTCAATATTATCAAAATCTATAATGAAATACCTAATTTCTGCAAGTTTGAGTCTACTGCTGGACAGACCAAATGCCCCACATGCAGAATAAGAGGGAATGGGTTTTTTCTAAGTATATATTGGAGGTCTCTTAAAAAGAAATGTTTCTTTGCTTGGAACACCATTCCTATAGGAGCGTTTATGGGATGTTGGTTCTTTTTTACATGGAGAAGAGAAATACAAACTAGTATTACCTGCAATAATAACTACATACAATCAGGGCTCCAGCAATAGACTGATGTATTAATTTGCAAGGAGCACTTAAGCATTTCATACAGTTAGACAAATATAAAACCCAGCAAAACATATACATAGCATTGGCAACATTTATTTAAAAAACAATTTTGCATTACCACTGATGGCATCGTATTCTTGCTGCCTGGTGGAATAAGAACTCGGAGATCGGGTTTACGGTTATTCATCCCTAAATTCATGGGGGGAGGTGATTTTGCTTGCATATTCTTGTTCAAGTTACCAGGTGAGACCAGCAGACCTGGTGAGTTTCGGGGATTGCCATACCCGTTCCCTGTTAACACAAAATAGGAAGAAATCGAGACTTAAGTTATGTTTCTAGAGATCATACTGCATGAGATGAATAATACAAGCTGAGCAGGATAAGACACACAACAACGTGTTAAAAAATTCGTAAGATGACTGACTTAACCTCTGGAAGTGGCACTCAATCACTTTTTTAAGGACCATTAAAAAGTTTTAAGGGGAAGACAGCTAGTCCATATCATCTTGGCTTGGAAATCAGCATAAACTGTTGACCTGTTAAACGGGCCTAAGAGAAGCAAAGACACGGTCCCTCACTTTAATTGGCGAGCCCAGTGGTAGCCAGGCTGGCGTGACTCACTCTTTCAGGTCAATGGTTTGGGTTTTATTTTGTGCTTCTGTGTGTCTTTAAGTGCAGAAAGGTCTTACCAGCAAGACTATAATTTCTAGGACGTGCAGGAGGAGGTGCCTTGCTTACTTTGTGCTGTTCAGTTCCCCTTTTCTTTGGGCGATTTCTCCCTATAGTTTTCTTCCACCTGACTTGCGCTCCTCACCAAGTTCAGCAGATGCTCTCAAGGCTGCCTGTCCCACGCACACACAGCTTCATAGAGGAGAACTGCTGAGGAGCAAAACTGAGGGAAAGGCTAGGCCACTATCGGGCTGGCTCATACTAGCGAGGTTACTGAAAGGACGTGCCCGGGACTCTGGTGTTTAGCCCTCTACAAAGAGAAAAACAGGCACCTGCAGATATCTCCACTTTTCAAAATTCCAAATATACTGCTAATATTTGAAAGGTGCTGCGAACACACTCCAAGACTTAACTCTGTATGGTGATGGCTGGTAGGCTTACTGCGGCAGTCATTCTATAATGTGTAAACATGCACGATTGTTTTGTTGCACACCTGAAACTGATGAGCCTGTTGTATTTCAATAAAATAATAAAGCTGTGTGTATATACTCATAGACTCCTTCGTGACAGGAAGAGCTACGGAGTTGACATGAACTTGAGCTGACATAAAATCATCTGCCAGCTTCCTCCACTGCCTCCGACTGAGAAAAAGAGAAAACAACTACCGATGACCCTTCTTGGAAAACCAGACATTTGTTTTCTGAAGCTCTTAAAGGAGACGCTCAGACCTCATTATGGTAAAACACAAGTGCCTGTTACCCCAGGGTGAATGACACCCTTTACTACCCAGCAGGAATGCAAAGACAAAAGTCTGGGTCCTGAACAACCCTGTGATCCTTTTGCTAATCCAGTGTAGACATGGTCAGTGTAAACATAAACCTCAAGACAAGGCAGCCCAGCTGGGGACCCACAGGGTAATTCAGATTGTTACTGAATTTCCAGGAGGGAATAAGCGATCTAATAAAGGCTAACCAAAGAGGCAGGTATTAATATGGTTCTTGAAAAAAGAGAAGAGGCAGAAGGAGACCAGGGGCTTGGGCTGGGTGCTGGCTAAGGGCCGAGATGGGGATTTACAGGGTCCAGTCAGAGATTGCAAGGAACCAGTGAAACGTGAGCAGTGTGAGATCCCCTGTGAAGGAATGTGGAGACTGGGCAGTGTAGACAAAGAATTCCAGGTTAAGACGCCGTGGTGCAGGGTGTGCTGACGTGTCTTTCAGGCAGTGTGATCCTGCGCCTCAGAATCACACCCAGTGTTGTAAACTGTTACCTCCACTTAAAAAAAAAATGATGGAAGTGCAGGCCTGTATAAAGATTATAGCACAGAGGTCCACAACAGGCTCTCAGTGGATAGTGACCCACTGACATTGGGACACTCTGGAGTTAGAGAGGTTGGAGAGGATGGAACAGTCTGGAAACTTTTGTGAGAGCTGGGGCTAGAGGCAATGAGGAACGAGGAAGCAAAAGGCAAAGGTTTATTTCTGGGGATATTTACGGGCACATCTTTTGAGCTAGAACATATTTGAGGCATATCGTGCAGAGAACATTTGTTCTTCATGTCCCATTCACTTACCTGTTTCATTTTATGCATGAATAAACAGACTGAACATGTAGCAAGTAACTCCAAGATTAAATCTGTCAATCAGATTATGCATAAAATTCTCCAAGTTACATGAAGGAAAAAAACCCCCAAAAACAATTGAGACACCCCAAAACCTGTGTCAAGCACCCCATCGCTGCTTAAGAAATGTTGGCTGAACTTGAATGTTAAGTGACTCATCTATAAAAAAACTTCAAAAAATCAGTGATCTTCTCTGAAGTCAGTTAAATATGTCAAGAGTCACATTCTTTTTTTTTGTTTTACAGTTAATCCAGACAGCTTTCTGTGACAGAAGTCACAGGAAACAAATCCATTTACCTTTTATCACTAGGAGAAATACAAAGAAAAGATTCATTTAGAAAAATGCTCCATTAAGATGGAATGTTCAGGGGAGTTTTCTATCGAATGTGCATGATTATTGTTAGTATGTTAGGGCTTTAGTTTTAAATACTGGATACGAATGGATTAAAAGGGGAAAAGGAAACCAAGACAAAATTTGTACTCTGCTCTCCCATCAGCTGAAGTTCAGACCCACACGCTGAATACACATGTCACTTATCTATGAAGTCTGCGTGAGATCTGGTTTAAATAAACAATCAAATGGAAAATTAGCAGGGTAATTTCAAAAGAAAGGAGGGGGGGGAAGTCAGTTAAGCAGTGCAATGAAGCTTGAATAGATCAGAAGAAACTAAAACCCCGGCTTGGTAGATGCCGATACTGGTTTGCATGGAGGAGTTATTTTGCTAAGCGGAAGTAAAACCGCTTCGTGAAATGTGTTGTCCTGTGATATGACAAGCACTAGGCCACTGTGTGAAAATGGAAAATGCTTCACCGAGGCTCTGAGAAAGGCTTTTTTTTTTTTTTTAATTTTTCTACAGTAAACTCTCTGAGAAAATCCAACAAATCCTACATCCTTTTGCACATATTTTAAACAATGATTTGGGGCACTTGTTGGGAACAAAAGTAAACACATATTATAGTTTTTCATCCAATAAGTGCCTGAAAGCTAAAAAAATTGATTTTCAGAGCATTCTATTTTTCTCTTGGAATACTCCCTGTTATTTGGAAATTATGCCATTTTAGAAGATTAGTCACATATTTGAAGATGTTTACATATTGGATGTAAAATGTTTTGAACCACAATGACACTTCTGAAATTCATATTTTTAGAGCAAAAAGTTATTTTCAAGAACAAATAAATTCTGCCTTTTACCGGTGAATTTCTGCTGTTTTTAGCATATTGTGCCAACTAGCATTTTGAAGCCGTATAATAACCATTTCTGTTCCAGCCACCAAGTTGTTATTCTTTTGGCATAATATAGATTCAAGAAAGCAAGACTGTGGATCCTAAACCAGTGATACAGAAACCTATCATTTGAAAATCAATGATGAATACATGCGTGTGGTTTACTGCTAAGAAGAGCCTGTATTTAGAAACCGCGGCCTCCTCCCTCCCTCAGCATGCTGTGGCCTATGTTTGAGCCGTTGTCCTTCCTACCTGACATAAATTCACCAAAGAGAACTGTCTCATTTAAAGTCAGGGGTCGGGGAGGTGGGAAACGCCACCTCGCAATAACCTTCTAATATACAGATTCAACCTTTCTTCATGCTATGTTTAAAAATTACCCTCCGCCTAGACAATTATCAATTTAGATGTGACTGTATGCAGATGTCACATTCCCCTCACCACTTAAAAGCACAAAAATTATAAAGTACGAGTGAATGGATTTCCTGATTATAGATTATAAGAAAATGAAGAACAGGCCAATTTTAGAGTCCGTTTGTTTTATAGTTTCATTTGATTAAAAAGTATTGTTTCACATTTAAGAGAATAAGGGAAAGCATTCATGATATAATCTGTATAAAGGATAATATAATAGAATCTACCTCGATGGGTTACAAGTTTCTAAACACTCATATTAAAACTAGTGTAAATATACAGAACTTGAAATGTGGTGTTAGGAGAAAAAAATTTTTTTCTCTCTAGTTAACTTGAAAACACTTGCTGCCTTTTAAAATTGACTCCTATTTTAAGAAGTTGTAAATTTAAATAACATATTCCTGGCTTAAGATGCTGTGAGGAGGACATTTTGCCTTGTCTCACAGAGCTCGACTGAGCATTCGTTCTCCTAAAGTTCTGAAACTTTTTTGTATTTAGATAGACATTTTGAGTCTTTTCACTTGCTTTTCTTCCTTTCCTTTTCTGGGATTTTCAATGATAAATACAAGCAATGACTTATGAAACCTATAAGCACAAAATAAAACTAGCCTACAGACCAAGGCTCATTTTATTCATTGGCACAATTTTTTCCCAGCCCTCCAAGTCACCATCTTTGAATATTCCTTCTCTCTCTTCCAACTTCATATCCAACCAGACACCAAAGCTTGTTAACGTTTCTTCAAAAAGGCCTCTTTCTATTTCTCCTGCTGCGGCCTATTTTAGGTTTTCATCGACATTTGACTAGGTCTTTCAATAACCCCTCATGCAGTCCCTGTTCTATAGCTGAGATGGGTTTCAAGGAGGTTGTGAGCTCCTTAGAATGGAATGCCCCTTTTTGGCTTATTTGTGGTAAAAACAAAATCTAATGTCCTCCCCAACCCACCAGGGAAACCTTTTTGATGCGCCATTTCCATCACATCCCATTCTGGCTCAGATACTGCAGCTGTGTGCTGTGTGATCTCAGGACTGCTCAGAGTTTCACCCATTCTGTTTATCTAACCTCATTTCCAACAGTCAAGACCAAGTTCAAGGTCCTCTGACTATGCCTGAGTCTTTGCTCTTCTTGCAAATCAATGACCAGAGGATTTGCTTTCCTGTTTAATTCAAACTCATCTTTCAAAGATCATTTAGTGTCCCAACTCTATGATGCTTTCAGCCCACCTCAAATTTGCTCTCCGCTAAACACCTCTGCAATTGGAGCCAGTGACATTCTGAGATAGTTCTTTAAGTGTTTCTGGTGCATGCAGAACAGGTAGAAGAATATGTTGAGAAAATCAGTAGTTATTCGGAAAGGCACTAAGTTACTGAGGGAGCGTGAGATTAGAAATGAAAATGAAATGAGTAACTTTTAATTTCAAAAAACCGAGGCTCTCTCTTCTATGCTACTTGAGACTTTTTCTATTTTAGATAATGTTTACATGCTGATGACCAAATACATCATTGAGACACACTCCTTATCAACCACGCAATATGAAAGTGACGAGAGGGAATCAGGGTAGGGCTTGCCTACTAAACTTGTTTACAGAGAGGTAAGTGATGCTTCCTTCCTAACCTGTTAATCATTTCACAGCACATTACCTTAGCCATCTATAAGTGGTAGAATCGAATAAAGTAAAATTTTCCCGAATAAAAAAAACAAAAAAACAAAACAACTCAGGGCCCTTCCTGGTGGTGCAAGGGGTTATGTCTCAGCACTACGAAGCCATCTGCAGCCTCTGCAGCATAAGTTCAATCCCCAGCCAGGGAGCTGGCTCACAGGTGCAGCAGCCCTCTCTTGTCTTGCCCGCTGCTCCCCTCAGCAGTGTACTTCAGTCATCTGCCTGTTCTGATGTCCACTCTGTCTTTCTTTGGTGAATCCTCTCACCCCCCACACCTCTGGCCTGTACCCTAGTTCTTGTATGCACAAATAAATATAAAAAAAGAAAGATAGAAAGAAAGAAACCCAGAGAAACTGGACCTTTTCTTCTACAGCAACAAGAGTTTACTGCCATAGGTTGTCTTTGCATCAAAATGAATCCCAATGATAATTTACTCATACAGAACTTTCCACTGAATGATGGACTTCAAAGAAAAGAACGGTAGAAATATGGAAGGGTGACAACTAGGACTTCATTTGATGACAGAGAGAGTGAGTTCCTAGCGAGAGGGGATTCACTGTGGAGTGATCTCAGACTCACCACTGTATAAGGACATATTGCCTACGAGGATAACATACCATGTGCTGGCGAGTATGCAGTTTTCAGAAGATGGAAAAGTAGGTTTGGCAAACATGAGCCTGTCAGATGGAGCCATTACACTATAGATTTTATACTAAACTTTGTGCTATGGAAAATGAGCAGCCGGAATTAGTTTAGGAGTGGTCAACGCCGTCATTATCACTGTGTACCAGGGAAATAACTGTGGCAGGAGAGTGGATGGATGAAGGATTAGATTGCCGTGGGCAGCTAGACTGAAGTCTGATGAGGTGAAAGGACTGGAGATTTACAAGGCAGATGGGAGTCAAGGACAAAGGTGGATAAAGTAGATAAATCAGGTTCTAAGTTAGGTGTCTATTAAAGTT